AATAATAATAATAATAATAATAATTTTCTGTTGATAAATTTTCCACTAGATGGTTATTGGTTTTGTTCAGATGACTGTCAAGTTAAAGGGCCTTTATCAAAGCCAGACCAGGACACCGGTGCTGACTACCTCTTCAATTACTCCTGTCATGCATTATGGAGAGGGTTATTCCATATGGCAGAAAGAGATGCAGAACGGGAAAACGATGGTCCCGCAATGATGTCGAATTGGAGAGTTTCAATGTCAGATTTCTGGGAAAATAACCATTATAAATATCTTATAATTGGCCATAGATTGCTAGCATGTAAGTTTATTTTATCGTTTTTTCAGTAACTTTCAAATATGTGATTAAAATTACTGGCGATCCTCACAAGTAAATATATTCAACGTTTACTTCAGGTATAAATGGTTATGTTTCGCCAAGGCAAGGAGAAGAAATGCTTTGGAATAGCACTGCTAACCTGAAAGGAGGAGCTGGGAACAACATACCGCTAGATCTTGTTAACGAGTTTCTAAATAATGACTTTAAACGTAAGTGTACAATTAGGAATGGTGAAAGGTCTTTTTTACTAACTGAATGTATGTTTTTACATCAACCCAACCAATACTTTCGGCATATATGTGTCCGTTGTTTATGTGTGAAAATATCTATTTGTATTTACACCCGTTTTTTATATATGATTAGTAATCAAATGCTTATTTCCATATACATTGCAGAGAACCTAAAACACTGCCATGGTCGTTACACAGACACCCATGTTGCTAGATTTAGTCAGCTGGTTGGAAGATTGTCCACAAACTTAGAATGTGTTTACATGACCCAATTCATGGACGAATGTGTTCATAAAGCTAAAACTACATCTGCTAATTACAGACGAGACGTCTCCAAATTTGTAAAGGAGTACAGAGACGAATGGCATATTTCAACAAATTCCGGGTCGGTATCACGCTGGATTTTCCAACTTTCGGAATAAAGTAGCCATTCACAGTGGTGACAAGTTGGTATCCCGACTGAAATCACACTGTAGAACCCTTGACCTGTTGAAAGAAATCCTTACACAGGATTAGTTGTTTCCCATGATTGGATTACGGATTGTTACATTGGAACTATAAATATTACTACTTTGTTAGCCAAACAGTGAGCTATATTCCGATACTGTTGGTTGAGTTACTTTTTCGTTCACCTTATTGTTTAGCAAGCAATAACTTCGTTATGATGAAAATGTGTTCAACAGCTTTATTTCTTTACCCGAGTGAAACCTAAAAACATTTTCAAATTTTCTGGTGCCGATTACAAATGAAATAAGTTTTCAAGCAGTCAGTCAGTACAGTCAGTTTATTATTAAATCACATTATGAATTAATGTTCAATTAGCACGAACAGAGGAAATAATAGTTTTTTGTGCATCATACTGGGAAATGCTTCAAATAGAATATTGATTTATCATTTTAGTTCATCCTTGATTGTCGAACTTATAAATCTCGCGTACGAGAGGATGACACCAAAAGATGATGAAAATAAATACAACTGAATATAACGATGTTTCATTCCCAAGAAGCATTTATTTTATTACGCATATTAAATATACCACAGGATGAAACGACAATGTTGCCACAATACTGTAGCACACAATAAACATAACACTATGTGGCCATATTTGCTATCTGCGTGTGAAGATTTAACTCAATAACATAACTCTAACATGCTGAACAACAACCAAAAAATCAAATAAAAATGGCAATTTGACAGTATTTCGATGCCTACCTCTGCGAGTTTAATTGACCCGACATGGACATTTAAGCTTACAAGCTGTGCGACACTTACAATAGGCAAACACAACACTCACATTTCATATCACATGACTTGCGATGTTTTATCTCGTCAATTATATGGGGATTCATTCCTTTAATAGTGAGGTGTTCCAAAATGTGGACTCGTAGACATGGAATGTTTGAATGTTTAAGTTGTTCACAGAGTGATTTCATATCATCTTCAACGTGTAAAACCGTTCTTGGCAGCGGAAATAAATGTGCCTCCGCTGGATCACCATTTCGCCCAGCACGACCTAGTTACTCCCTCTGTTTTCAACTATGCTGTTACTACATCCCCAATGAATAACTATATTTAAATCTGGGATGTTCACCCTCATCCCAAACGCCACAGTGCAAATTATACATCTTAAAACATTATCCTGCGAGAAACGTGAAACAACTCTCTCCTGGACTGTGCTGGCCAATGCCCCGTGGTAAACTACCACAATTCGGTTTTGTATAACTTTGTTTCCATCTCCATAAGCAGCATTTCCCAGGTAGGCCATAAAATTAGCAAATACCTTGCCACACTGAGTGATGGTTCTGCAAAGGAAAAGTCGAAAAGTCAGTTATTTACTAAATTGTTATTATATTATATTATACATTAGATCTACATTTAAACGTTCAACTACCTGTTTTTTGTTATTATACATATGTATAAAAATGATATACCTGACATAAATGATGGTTTTCCGTGTTTTGATGCCGTCACTTTTGAGTTTCCTTAGAAACCAAGCCATCTCTTCAGTAATGGACAATGAGCCAAACTTGTAGTAGAGACTAATGTTAGGCCTAAATAATTCGATAATTAATTTAACAATTAACTGTGTAAATCAGTCAGATTGCGAAATAGGTAATAATATCACACATCTTTAATTACACGATATTAGAAAATACGTAGGTAAAGTCCAACATTGAAACGAAATTGAGACGATTATCTTATATACGTATAATGGTTAATACAACGACAACAATAATTATATATTAATTAAATATATAGTTGTGGAGACTTCACTTCGGAAGTACTTACCATAATTCTAGGACATGACATTCATCTATGGCTATGAGACAAACTCCATCTCCTTAGATTTTGGATTGAAGCAAAATTGGCCTCCATGAGTCAATAAACAACAATGCTTCGGGCGACATAAATAAAAGTGTAAACAGTCCTTTCTTTATACCTATGATACAAAATACAGTTCAGTAACTAGGGGGCCAATCTGTTATTAATGTTTATAATTTTACTATCTCGATAAAACATTGAGAAAATATTAATTTGAGACAATTACAAATTTCACGTACCTTCAATAGTTTCTGTATCCATATCTTTCTTCCTTGTGATGCAGCATGACTTAATGCCCATAGCATTGCAACTACGCACCTGGTCGTACATTAGGCTTCGTAATGCCGTTTATCACTGATTGTTTCATTTAACAAAACTGGTGGGAGCATGTAACAGATACTTTTCCCAAATCCAGTTGGTAGCACAGGAAAGCAATTTTCATTTCGCAAAATATGAATAATGACATCAATTTGCTCGGGTTTCAGATGATAATGCAGATTGTGAGAACGTTTTATGCGATTGAATGTGTTCTCCCAAGAACAAACTATATCATTTAATGTTGCCATTACGTGTAGTTTATCAGGTGTACCGACAAGTCTAACATGAAAGGACTCCTTTCTTACGCAAGTATTCTTGGGGAATCCCTAACCGCATTACGTTATGACAACAACGTGACGTCATATTGATCATGTGATACCGACTTCGACCAGTGAGTGTGAGATGGCGACAAGCTGTGTTTTAGCATGACCGTCCAAGAATACTCGGGTGAATGGGCTTTATTTGAAATTATTAAGTTTCAATCCTTGCTGTGGTGAGTATTTAATAAATGTACAATCTATCGACCTTAGTTTGGAGTCGTTTTTCACAAGACATTGCATGATTTTTAATCGTTTATTTGCTCAATGGTTTCATTGCGGCGTCAACATGGACGGTACTCTATGGCTGTCACCATAGCTCTACTTTGTCGACAATACCATACAAATTTCAAGTACGTTTATTATAACATCAGATCGACACAAGCAGAGCTATGGACCCACAGGTAGCAGAGCTGTGGACCCACAGCTATGTGTGACCTTGTGTCTGACACATTCATATGCAAATGACTAATTTGTGAAACAAACAGGGGTGGAGACAAACCACTTTCGAAACACTCATTGTCTGTGAGAAAGCTGCTGATAACAAATCCTAAAATTGCTTTGTCTTGAGTTTATCTTTGAAACTTATAGGCACACAGATTAAACCTATGTTGTTGATTTTGGAAAACACTATTGAGGCTGCCTTGCTTCCCTTAAAAGAATCAACATTTTAACAAACTTACATGACATTCTATGTTATGTTGACTTTATCATATGAAAGTTTATAGTGCATTTCATCAATTAATAAATAAATGTTAAAATCGTAATTATCGGCTAGGTCGTTATCGTATCTAGCGACGTGTCTGTTGAGTTGATATCCCATGCATTTTTAATCTGTTTTTCTGCTCTTCCTGAATATTCTTCCTGACCCGACATTCTCATTTTGGCTCGCATGAAGTCGAAAAGAAATTCACCTAGTTGAACGACTGTCAGGATACTTGCACCAAGGAAAAGCCCCATATTTCCACCAATTTGACCTTAATATGAAAAGAGATGTACAATAAACCACAAGCCACGTAGCGTTTCTGTGACGTAAATGGTGTAAGAAATTCACGTCGCCAATAATGCTTTGATCTGAACGAACGACTATATTGCTTACTAAGTGATTACGTGACATTGAACCCTTGCCTATCATATCAGTCATATTTACTCAACGAATAGTTACTAATCAATACAAGAAACACTTTGAAGACTTACTTAGTAAAATAATTCCATCCGTGTCTGGTAGCTGTGTTATAGTTTCCATGTTGAGAGCTTCGTAAAATATAGATAATACTGCCACATTTTGTCTGTCAAGATAAAATGAAGTGTCAGTAAGATGAGAGCAAGTCGACATCAAGATATTATAGAATAAAAGTCTACAACGTTAATATATTGGGTTGTAAAACTTTTTTAGGTAAAACAATGACAAAATTGAAAATAAGAAAGCTGTCCAGATCGTTGACTACCCTCAACATATCGTCTGTTTTACTAGAATTGCCATTCATTCACTTTGTTTTGCATTTATACACATTTGTTACAAATCTGTGTGGATTATACGGTGTCGCCCTCTGTCGACATATATAACCCACTCATTACGTCAGCAAGGGCGCTTAACGAAAGATGTAAACATGTGACTTACTCTATATATGTCTCTGACATATTGTGTTTTGTATTGTGGAAAAGCTTCTCAATGAACGCTGGTCGTAATTTAGACATGGTGACTACGTGTGGGTAATCTTCTACGTCACAGGGTTCACGACAGGAACAATTAATATCCAGGTGCCCATTATTATAATCAACTGTGTTGTGGATAGAGATTGAAATATGGAATATGTAAATAAATAATAGTGGAGATATTAAAATCACTAATAACCACCAACGTATGCAATATAATTTAGAAATTAGAAACAAAATAAGAAGGTATAAACTTAGAATATAATCTACCAAACAATGATTTTAAAAAGAATAACAATTATAAGCATTTTCACACTTTCAAGATTTTGTTTATTTCCACATATCGATTAATCTGTGTATGTATGTATGTATGTAACTGTGTGTGTTGTATCAACGTTGTGAAACCTACTAAGATCCTCCCTATTTCCATAATTTAAGTTAAATTCGCGTAACCTAGGTTTAGTAAAGAGGGAAGGTATGGTAGAGTTGGTGAAGGGGTGAGGTGGCGTTTGTGTGTTATTACCTATTACCTACCATTTACATGACCTCTGGTTTTATTTTTGACTTTCTTCGCCTAATGCGACATCAATGAATAATGATTTTTTTTTTATTTTCTTAGCGAAATAATTTATTTAGTTGAGCGTGTGTAGATGGCGAATGTGTACCCCTACGATCAGAGCTTCCTAGCTACATTGGTTATTGAGATTGACACACAGTACTGTCAAGCAGCTAATGCTATTTAACGAAGACAAGTTTATGCAAAAAAGGTAGGTTACATCAAATTCAGCTATCATAAAATATATAGTGTA